CGCATTCTTGATAACAAACTTTCATTTTACAAATTTTCATTTGTTATTCGGTTTTTTTTAACAATAGGCGCCTCCAAAAAAAAGAAAAATTTACTTCCTAATTTCTTCACATTCTGCTGCACTCGCGCCTGCTCTTTCTCTGTTCCATCTCTAGTTAGATGCGTTAAACACCGTTATGATTTGATTAAATGCAGATGGATTGGCTGAAGCAAAATGGTTATGGAGGTGCTTTCATCTGGTGCTTGGATTTCGATGACTTCAAAGGGGAAACGTGTGGCAAGGGTCCGTATCCGATAATGAAAGCTATCAATGACGGACTCTCAGGAAGCGCACCGCTCTCTTCCGCTGTGAGTGTCGTTTTGCATTTATAAATAAAGACGGGGTTCTCCAAGATCCAGCTGTGGATTCGATGTGGACAATATGTGCTTCATGTGAATTCACTACTGACCAACGGATTCGCGACATTGTTCAGTTGACTTGGCTTAGATCTTCTTCCCCTTTGTTAAGCGGCTGACTCATTTAGGACGATTAAATTGGGGCCCCCTACTTTGACAAGTGCTTCTACTAACCTCGAATCTGTGGCATATCTTGCTTTTCTTTACATGATAGCTACAAATAGCCTGCCTGATCATTGTCCTCCCTTTTAACAGCTGCAACCAAAGGTCACTTAGTGGCCAACGTGCTGGTAATCCTTACTGCGAAAATCCTGTGAGGTCGAAAGCAGTCAGGAGACCGCCACACTCCACGAAGAAGCTTGCATGAAGATTGTACCCATGATGTACTAAGTTCCAGTTACTTGAAGTGGAACAAGCGAGCTAGTTCTGTGATCGCAATAATGACAAAAAATCGGGGCAATGATAATCTTCCCAACCCTGAAATTTCTGAGATTTCTGTAAAAGTACTTTGAGGTGCAGCTTAATGCATTTTTTTCTCGAAAATGCTTCGTAAGAATGGAAGAAATTCGTTTTTCCTTAGATGGATGTTCCAGATATCACCGGAAGCTGGTGAGACAACTACGCCCTCATCCGGAAACGAAACGAGTGCAGGTACAAGCAGCAGTCCCGGAGCT